GGACCTCCGCCGCGTCTTCCTCAGCGCCTCGTTGACGCACAGCACAAAATCCTCGCTGCGGGAGGCTGTACCGCTCCTTTGGGTTTTGTCTCCTTGAAAATTGGTCGCAACGTTTCTATTACGAAATTGAGTTTTATTCGCGTGCGTAATAATGTTTAACGTAGCGGCGTTCGTTTTGGTCACGAAGGCTGGTGATCCGTTTTTTAGTGCGTACGGAAAAAAATCGTTGTTAGATGCGTTTTGCCTAATAAACAAGGAAGCAATGCTTGTTGAAGAGTGTAGGCCGGGATCTTCAGAGGTATATAGGTTTGTGTCTCTCAGAGAAATCAGAGAGCGTTAAGTATCTATATGCTCTTTGAGTACTTGCGTGTAGGAAGCCGGGGCTGAGCATACATTTGTGGTGTTTTTTTTTTTCTCCTTTGGGTGAGCTCTTCCATGGCTTGAAAGGATTACACATGAGCAAGGCCTCTCTGCTGTATCTGGTTGAATGATATGCTAAATTCCTGACACTCAAATACCCTCACAAAGAATACATAATGCAGAAGGTATGGTGTTGCCTTAGTAGCCCAGCTTGACTTGATCTTAACATGACTCCTTCAGAAACTAATCTTTAATGAAAAGATAAAAATTAACCACTTAGTGGGTATACCTAAGAAGCTTTTATCATGGTGGCATATCTGTATTGTAAATAATATTGCAAAATTATGTTTTTAGGTGGTGAAATAAGGCCTCTGTCTCTTTTTTTTTTTTTTTTTGTAACTCATGGAAAATTCCAATGGTATGTTAATCATGGGTAGTTACTAAAAAAATTTTTGATGAAAATACATATAAAAAGATTTGGAATGTTTTGTAACTTCTTAAAATGAAAACTAAAGCTTCTAATAGACAACACGCCTGTAGTTCTAGCTATCAAAGTACTTTTCCATCAACTTAAACATTTCTACGTGTCTCTCTCTTGACTGGAGGGACTACCTGAGGCCAAAAAAGCTGTTAGCCAAGATTATCCCTAGTTCAGATTGTACTTCCACACACGTACAAGGGTTGATAGCAAAAGATGTGATCTTGGTTCATTTGGTAAAGTGGACATCTGGTCACCTGTCTCATGTTTTCATCCACGATATAAAATGACCTGCCATTGAAGTCATAGGAAAGGCTGTGTGCACGTTTGGATTTCACTTTACTTGCATAAGGACGTAAGACACCAAGCTTCCTATTTTTAAAACTCTTGAAGTCTCACATATTTAAACGTCTAACATGATGGTTGTAGCCCTGGCTGCAACTGCTGCACTTATGTCTAGTGTGGGAGGGGAGGGGTAACAGCTCTAAGTATTCATGCATGTTTCAGATGCCCTTTTAAAATTTGAATGGGAACATTCTGACTTTTCTAAAGAGTGTTTTTTAGTCAACAGTGGCTTTCAAAAAAATATATTAGGAATATGTGATAACTGATTCATGATCTGCGTTTTTTCTTCAGATTAATAACTTTGCAAAACTGCTTAACCAGATCATCTGTAACCAAGTCTGATCTTTCAGTGGAGGTGGGCATGTTGCAATAGCAGTCACTGTGTTTTTTCAAGATCAAGATTCTCTCATTTCAGTTGTTTATATCTCTAAAGGTGAAGATTCTCTGCTGAGAAAACTTAGCTGATGGTGTGCTGCCTCCTGTGCCTCCCCGATGAATTGCAGGGGCTGAGTTGTCAAGCAATTGAATAAAGGGGGAAAAGCTGGGGGGAGGGAATCTTAATTCACATGTAAACAATGCTGGCAGTACAGAGAGAGATGGATTTGCCCTAGGCAGATGCTGTATAGAGATTTCCCAACAGCTTTACTAATGCACGACCTGCTTTAGGTCAACTTTATCATCCTGATCTGCTCCAACTGTTTGCACATCAGTGAAACTGAGAAGAGATTTATAAACATGCATATTGAATAATACTCTATAGTATTTATGTGCAACATAGGAATAGGATAATTACTCCCCGTCATTGTCCCTTAAGCTTTGTCAGTACAAATCACAGTGGTCAGCAGCTGCCAAAATCTGCGTTGCTCTTAAAAGAAACGCCAAACGCGTCCTTAACTTCAGCCTTCAGCGTTTGTGATGGAAAATACACTGGTAAGCTTTCTTCAGAAAACCAAGTCTAAGTTGAGGCGTAATGTTTACATTAGTGGGTTAATGTCAGTCCTGAGGGAGACCCCTAATGGAGCAGAAGGGAAGGGAGAAAAGGAGGATGTTCCTTTCACTAAGACAGCTTTTCTGATTATTTTGCTATTACATAGTTTATGCTATTTGGAAAAGCAGTTAAGGTGATTTGAAGTCATGTCTTGGTAAATTTTTTCTCAGTGAAGTTTCTTTTGAGAAGGCTAGTCTAAGACTTTAATAGCAGGAGACTTCCTTCTGTGTGTTTTTTGCCAATAAAATGCAGTTCTAACACCTAGCTTCTGTCAACAGTAAGATATTTGCTTTTACCCACTGCCACTTGGCCCTAGTGGGTGAAGAGAGTGGAGAAGTCCCTGCTGCTCTGTCCTCCCTCAGTAAACTGGTGGGTCTGTTTGGATTAATAACTGCAGAATCTCCCACTGCTTGCAGCTTCCTTGAAGAACAGCATGAAATTGTCCCAATGGTTAATTTCATAATTCTCACTTGCAAGGTTCTTATTAGCAATCACGGCAAGGATCATGTCTGCCTTTGCTCCTCAAAGCTTCATCAGCAAGTGTTTGCAAAATGACGCTGCGTAAGAACGCTGGCATGTATCCGAAAGGTCAAAACTGCCAGAAAGACTAACAAATATATATATTTTTAATTTGATGGTTATGTAATTCAGAATTTTTCTTGCTGGTTCTGGAAACAATACTCTTAAAGATGGTTGAAGGAGAATACCTATTTAAGATCTTAGGTTCCAATAAAAGAATATATTTTGCCCTTCTTTTATAAAACTACAACTCCTTATTTCCAGATTCACTGCTGTCATGTTTGTCTTGGAGTTCACTGAAGCCAAAACATTCCTGATTGCCAAATCATAATGCTTATGTCTTAAAACCATGATTTACATAGTGTTAGTTTAGTTAAGTGAGTTTAAGCCTAGGACAGAGCAAAGAAATGTCTAGACTGAAGAATGTGCTTGTGAACACCATGTATGTCAAATCCACCTGCTTGCATACGTTATGCAAAACCCAAGTACATTCCTTGCCCAAATGGATTATGGGCATGTTAATGCTTCGCTGACACTTGATTGATGCTAGGGTTTCTATGGATGTCGTGCTATCTTGGACTGATTCTTAGTAGATTGCAGGAGAACTTATTTGTCATTCATAGGACTCCATGCAGGATTGTTCTTAGCCTGCCAGCTCATCTAGCTGAGGCACTTCCAGCTGCGCATGCTCAATGTATTTTGTCTATTCCAGCTGGAACTAGGCCATAGATCCAGTCCGAGGGAAGAGCTTGTCTGCTTGTAGCTGTTCAGTTGCTGGATTATATTAAAAGATCCATGAGAAAGTGACGCAATTTCAGTAATCTGCCCCTAAGAAACAGTGATGGTCTCAGAGATGAATGCTAACATGATGAAACGGGCGTTTTGCATCTACTGTATAGGTGGACTAAAGTTTCTGCTGCAAGATCATTGTTATACTGATCAGAGGTGCATGAAGAAACTGACCTTGTGGCCTCTGGGAGGAATTCTTCTAGAACATGAAATTAAGGAAACTGTGCTGTTCCAGAGGTTGGTTACTGTTGCGTCTGCAGTTAGTTAGTTTGGTCTGAAGTTGCCTTTGAGATGTCTTTGCAAAGGTTAGTAAGATTAGTATGGTACATGAAATAACTGATTCGTTTCACTTTGAGAGTAGACCTTCTAGACTCTGACTACATGAGTGCCAGTGATGCTTCCTAGGACTGGCTGCATAGAGCAAGTGAGCCTGCCTGCTTTGCTCCAGCTCATGGAGCGGTACCACTCCTCTGCAAAGTGTAGGCAAACTCTTCCCTCTGGGCTGAATGTAATGGAGTGTATTTGGGAGACCATGGACAAGAGCCTCTCTCTGGAACATTATCATGCAGCTAATAATTCTACCCGTATTATTCTGGCATTCTGTACGTTTCTGCATGGCAAAAGATAAGCATTCGGCTGAGAGAATTCTCAAGTAGTTTTCTCATCTGAAAATCAGAGTATCTGACGTTGTGCCTGCATTAAGGCAAACAAAGGAAGTGAGGAGTGGTTTGTATAGGTACTTCATATCATCCTCTGAATAAAGAAAGATGTGTTTGACGCTACATAGTGTCAGTGCATACATAGCATAATTGTGAAATATGTGATGATTACTGCTGTGTACAGATGCACAGTACTTTAACAATCAAATTGTTTTTCCTTTTCCAACAAGAATTAGAAGGCCAATATGTTATTTTTCTAAGCAATAATTGAAAACAAGTTTTAGAAGAGCACTGTTTGTCTCATTTTAATTAATTGGTGAAAACAAAGAACAATTAGACATGAAGAACAGTGCAATAAAGTTTCAAAATCTGATTACGCTTGTTTTATTGATAGTAAAACTAAACACTGGATGCTTGCTCCCATGTATTGTGTGGGGTTGTCTGTGCTTGATAGGGAAGAAGTGAATAGGGCACCACTGCCCCTTCTGGGCTGGAAGTGGTGTTTTCATGAACTGCTCCAGAGTTTTCTATTTGTGTTGGAGCAGGGTATGATAGCACTGAGACTTGATCTTCATGGGATTGTAGTGGGGGTGCAACTTCTCCAGTGGCTCTAAGTTTCTTGTCAATCTCCTTTTATGTCCCAGGATTATTCCTGAATCAGTCTCATTTGACTCTTTGCCACTGAGAAACGGAAATAACAGTAATTTGAGGTTGTCTCCCTTTTAATAAAGGTCTTGCACAACTTTTTCTCTAAGCTTTTTCCTTATCCAATTTCTTGGTGTCTTGATTCATCTGATGGAAGAGCATTGCCAAAAAGAGTAAAAAAAATCTCATTTTAATGAGAACAGAAATAATGACTGTTGGCATTCCAGAATGCTGCTTGTGCACTACTTTCATTTGCTGGTCCATTCTTAAAGCTTTCGATAGCTGAATTTGCCGGTTCACATACCTACTGTGGTAGGAACCGTATACAAAACATATTTAAGATTTCCGTGTGCATACCGGGTCTCAACAGAGAAATTTTCTCATGAAGATGGTAAGACCAGTATTAGTTTATCAGAATGAAAATGACTTTAAATGTAAAATCTGATAGAAGTTACGTATTAGTAAAGGGAATTAATTTTACAAGTTAGTGGTGGTTTCTGTTAGCGTATGCAAAGAGAAAATAATTAGGAGTGAGTAAAGGAAATTAAAGGAACTACAAATGCAACTAATAGAAAATTCTCTTGCAAAACTCTTCAATAACTTCTCCAGCTGGGTATCATTTTATACATAGGCAACTTAGATAAAGGGTCTGAGATAATACAGAAATATTCTAGAAGTGGAAGTTGCTCTATACTTGCTATGATGATGGTATGTCTGCCAGCTTTTGGTAGCCTCAAGAGCTGTCTTATGCGGACTTCTTATCCAAGGTTAAGCCTAGGGGCCCATGTAGATATCGGAGTTGCGTGTTAAATGCATTCAGGTTCTGTGTAGTGGAGAGTGCATAAGGGCACCGGGCAAAATTACTGTGTTTGTAGTGAGAGCGGAGGGGGGAGTTGTAGAAGGGGGAAAACGCGCTGCTAACTTCATATATACAGCTTTTTTGTATGCTGCTTTTCATCAGGTTGTCTAGAGCTCCAGTCAAATGCAAGATATTCAGTGTATAGGCTTTTGGCTAGCGAGGTTTAGTGAACTGAACTGGTGAAGTGAAAGGATGCAGGAGTTGTATACTCTTTATGAATGTGAATCTAGTCATACCCTTTAGAGAGGGACTTAGAATAAGCATTTTATTTATAGTTTTCTGATACCTGTCTGAAGTAAAGACTGAATGAAGGGCTTTATATATTCTTTAAGCCACCTTAAGATATTGACTCTGCAAGTAAATAGGCACATGTTTTAAGAAGGAGGAATGCTTCTATGCTGATTGAACTTATTTATTACCTCTTGTTGCTTTTGAAAAAAATGCTCAGGACTACTTTTAATTAATGGGAGATTTTGTAGGATCATTTAATAGCAGATGATCTCATTCTGCTTGGTGTTAATTGTTTGCATAGTATTTTTGTAGTCACACTAACTTTAAGATAGACTTTAGGAGAAAAAGCATTGGACTTTTATGGATATATGGATATTATGGATATATGAATATGGATATTTCTTGCACTTAAAATACTTGGAATGGATTGGGATCTAATTAAAAGGTAAGCTCTTTAAAAAGTCATGGTTTGAAGAATTGTTTTCTGTGGCCATCACTGATTATTCTACTTCCCATTTCTCGTTTTTCATCTGCAAAAAAAAAAAAAGGTCTCACTGCTTTGAATTTAGGTTTTTGGCTCTGTAAAAATGATTATCTTAAGGTAGTGTTCTTAGATTAAATTTAAAATAAAAGAACCAACTTTTTCTTTCTTAATCATATGATCTTCCTGCCTTTTTAGGCCAGATCTTTAGTTTAAAGGTTTGTAATAGCATTTCTAAATAGTGAGTGAATGGATTATTTGTAATTGTTGATTGCTACCATTCTGTTCAAAACACGCTCCCATTTAAGCTGTTGTGTAATTTTTAATCAGAAGCCAGCAGCTCTCCATGAGTAAGCAGTCCTTCGAGCTCTGTGTTGGTTAGCAGAAATGTATGATTTTTTTTTTGATTGCTCACTTAGTTCTAAGTTACAGTGGACTTATCAATGCTTATTTGACTGGAAGTATACAAAATATTTGAATGTGAGTTAGCTGGCTATTATATTCAGGTTGCTTGTTAGACTAAAAGCAAATAAACAACGTTTCAGGTGCACTGGGATTTATTGTATGGTGGTTTGGTGTTTTTTGTCATCCTGAAGTAGTTTGAGGTTTCTCAAAGTGTAAGCTTTCTTGCTTTATTTTGAATAGCTCTATCTGTACCTTATAAAGCAAATGGAGCTTATACAAAGGTAATTAATTACCAATGTGAAGCTCTACATTCTGAATGTAGAGATTTCTACAGTAGAGTTTAACAGTAAAACAGGAAAAAGTGGGGTGGGAGGATCCAGTGAGTAGAACTGAATCCTTTGTAAGCTAGCTGCTGATTGTGCTGGCATAATGAGAAAACACTATTTTTATTCAGATTTTTATTTCTTGAGAAAGCTTTAGAGTTAAATAAAACTGTGTTCATTTATCATGTTAAAAGGACAGGAAACTGTCATGAACAAGCTGGATATGTAGTATAATACATCATGGACTGTGGAAAGATTTGACTAAGTGTTATACTTCTATGGAACAGTGGTGCATAAATACTGTACAAAAAATACTGCCTTAAGGTGACCTTGTGAGGATTACAAAAAGACTGTGCTCCTTGTTCTCTGTATGCATGTAACAGGCTTGAATTCTGATTTCCTATGCTTGTCTGAAATACTACAAAATGGAATTCTAGGTCTTAATTTTTCCAAAGAGAGATGGTGCATATATGGGGGTGTGCACAGACTTAGGCAGGAGCATGAGACACGTGTATTTTCCCGCAGGCATTGAAAACCTGAGTTGTCAGGAGCAGAAAAGGGTAGATATCAGAAACTAAAATTACTAAAAGTTTCTTCATTTGCCATGAAAACTTAAAACACTATTATTCCAATTTCCCCCTGCCTTCTCCCCAGATTTGCAGCTTTATTTTCAGTCCTGGAGAAGAAGATAGATTACATAGTGCATTCCACTTAAATTTATTGCAGTTTAAAAAAAAAAAAAAAAGAACACTGTTACACCATGGACAGCTTTTAACGCCTGTACATAAGAAATCTCATATTGCGTATTCTGCTTTGATGAAGTGAAAGTAAGAACCTGTGCATGTTGAATTTCTAACTCTTCTTGTCAGGATATACGCCCTCAAATATTTAGTCTCATAGTCCAATTTGTATGCAGTTAGCTTTCAGCTTACCGATATCAAATACACGTAACTGCTGTATTTCCAGTGGGGGCGGGAGGGGGGACGACAAACAAATAAAAAACAAACACTTTCTTAGATACCATTTGATACAGATCTCACATTTAACAGTAATTGTTAGGAGTATCTGCAGGACTCCCAGTGAGAACATCCAAATGGATCTTTTCAGCTAGGGTACTAGGATCCTCAAGATTCTTGACCCATTTGGGAAGCTCCAGTGGACTTAAGGGCTTCTTTAGCTAATAGTGTTGCAGCATTTGTGCCTTTTGCAAAATTTTTATTCCAGACTACTTCACTTGAAGAATTATTTTAACTGGTTATGGCTATGAAGAGAACAGACACTGGAATATCACTTCAGTTTATATCCATTGCAAACTCTGAAAAGTCATACTAAAGAGTCTGTGAGGAGCAACTAACTCACAGCTGCTCCTTAAAGCATCAGTATATGGAAACGTTGATGAGACTACAGCACAGAGTCAAAATCTTGTGTTGATTTAGTGTTCTATGATTTGCTGTAAAGTGAACAAGAGCATTAAGTACTAGCAACAAATATAAGAAAGTGTGAAAAACTTGAAGTAATTTGGAGGTGCAGGCAGAAGATCACTGAGCTGAGTAGATACTACTACTTAGCCTACCATAGACCATGCTGTTGCTGCGTTAGACTCTTTCATGGCTTTATGGATATTCCAGCTGTGCTGCTTGAGAATCCTCATTTCCACATAAGGTATAGTTACACATGCATTTCTTAAGTAGCCTTCTGGTCATTCTGTACAGCCTGCTTTAAGCCAGATACAGCTGTTTGTGTGCTTATATGATGAATCAGATTGGTATCTGATTTGGTTTGGAGATGTATTTTTCAGATGGGTCACTTCTACAGTTTGGTACAGCGGTTGGCTGCATAAATATTTCTGCCAAAAGAGCACAGGAGATGTTTCTTCAAACTTGGCGGAGGAGAGGGGAGAGGGAGCACTTAACTGCTTAGAGTAGTAAGTGTCAGATGTCTACTCTGGCTTTATTCATCTGAGGCACAAATAAGCAATACTACTCTGAGTAAAAAGTCCTTCCGCTCTTATTGCAGTGGAACGAGATACTTTTGTCACTTTCTTTTGGGTATTTAAACAGAAGGCAGAGGTGCTAGACGAAGCAGACTGAGAAAGCTGCGTATGTTACTGAGGTTATTGTTGCTCTCAAAAGTCTTCCAGTACAAAAGTATTTCTTTGGAATAGTCTTCAGAGGCTAGTGTTGTTGCATGTTGTGACAGCCTATGGTTTTGACAGGGAGGGGAACTTCCCAGGCCCCAGCAATTAAAGGAACTTGTGCTATGATGCGCTCAGTTTCTGTTAGAGGAGGGACTCAAAAATACATGGACTGAAAATAGTGGTGTCTATACGCTGCTCTACACCATCAATGTAATTGTTTTTCTAAAAAGAAACCTACAAAAACATTCTATTAATTTACCCCAAAATAGTGAGGTTCAAATGTCTCCTGTTTTATTCCTTTACTTATCAGAAAATAATCGTGACTGATTTTTGCAGCTCAGTTGTCACCACACTACAATATCTATGTATGTGAGGTATTGACATGTATTAGTTTTCTATGGAACAAGAAATTCTGATGTTGAGAAATACCCTAGACCTTTTTAAAAAACAAGAAAAACAAAAACCTTTGCGAATAGAGTTGAAGAAAACTATCCATATATGTGGCTATAGGGGAAGACATAGGCCTCATTAAGCACAATTTAGCTGATGGCTAAATATTGAATCTATTTAGCTTAAGTTTATGTGACTTATATAAACAGTCTGTAAAACTCTCGTGCTTAAGCATTGATAAAAGGTTATTCTGCAGTCAGGATACACTGATGTTTCCTCTGTGGAAGTGATAGAGTGTATATTTTTGCTGACTACAGTTTAAGAACTCTTAAACGCAATCTATAAGAGTTCTGTCTTATTTCAAAATAAAGTTGTCAAGCAGTATTCTTAATATTGTCATGAAATAGTTGTTTTTCAGTTACTGCTCTTTTATTTTTCCCACTGGGTTATTAGTCTAAGCAGTGAATGACTTTTCTATTATTTTAGTTTTGCTCTTGTTTTTCTTAATGCGTATCTGTGTTTATTTCTAGGCCTTTCTTAAAACTCTCCATGTCTAAATGGACTCCTGAATGTAATATAGTCTATACTTTAGAAGCGGATATGAAGAGTGAAGTTCCTTCTGATGCACCAAAGAGACAGGAGAGTCTGAAGGGGATCCTCTTGAACCCTGAGCCTATTGGGGCAGCCAAAAGCTTCCCTGCAGAAGTTGAGATGATTGCCAGTAAAGTAGGGAATGAGTTCTCTCACTTATGTGGTGATTCTCAAAAGCAGAAGGACATGAATGGCAACCGTACAGACCAAGACAAAAGTATTGTGGTGCGAAAAAAACGCAAGAGCCAGCAGGCTGGTCCTTCATATACTCAAAATTGTCCTGATAAAGAAAACCAAGGAATCTTAGGTTTACGACAGCATCTAGAAACACAGAGTGAAGACAATGATTCTTCTTTTAGTGACTGTATCTCTTCGCCTTCATCTAGCCTGCATTTTGGAGACTCTGACACAGTAACATCTGATGAAGAAAAAGATGCTCCTGTCAGGCACCCTCAGGCAGTGTTGAATACTACAGGTAGAACTCATAGTGCAAGGTCACAAAAGTGGCCTCGGACTGAGGCAGATTCTGTACCTGGATTATTAATGAAAAGGCCCTGTTTTCACAGCAGTTCATTAAGAAGGCTTCCATATAGGAAGAGATTTGTGAAAACTAGTTCCTCTCAGCGGACCCAAAACCAAAAAGAACGAATTTTAATGCAGAGGAAAAAACGAGAAGTGTTAGCTCGAAGAAAGTATGCTTTACTACCCAGCTCTAGCAGTTCCAGTGAGAATGACCTCAGTAGTGAATCTTCCTCCAGCTCGTCTACTGAAGGGGAGGAAGACTTATTTGTATCACCTGGTGAAAGCCATCAGAACAGTACAACTGTTCCTTCAGGTAAAACTGAATTCTTGAGATATTTCTGTTAATGAGTTATATTGTGTACAATATGCTTTCTTTATAGGTGCTTTGGAGCAGTTGTCTGTGTGTTTTTGAAGAACTTAGGTTGCAAACAGACTTATGTTCATATTACTCTCATGATAAATTATACTATAAATTCTTGATGGGAAAAGTACATTTCAGAACTTTCAATATAATTAATCAGATGTAAAATCCTCTAATGCAAAAGATAGTTAATGTTTTTAAACAATCTACTGGAGGGTTGATGAACCTGCTTAATCATATGCTGTGGAGTTGCTTCATTTTTAGCTGTTGAATTGTATTAAAGGTGTTAACTATTATAATTTTGACAAGTTACAGGAATAGCAATTCTGCCTGGTTTCAGAATGTAGAAAGAGATGTCAATACCATATCTGCTAATACGTAATTAACGACACTTGAGTACTGTTTATTTAAAAAAAAAAAAAAGTCATTGTGATAAGAGTCTGAAACAGCTTACGGTATTAGGTAGCTGTAATAATAAGAAGAAAATATTCTAAATCCTGAAGTTGTGGAAAGCTGCCTATCATGAAAACACCAAGTGCTTTGCCTAGATAAACTTAACGCAATAATCTTGCAATCGGTTTACACAGACACTTCTCTAGTATGTATTGGCATAATATTTGAGGACGTATACTTGGGTGTTAATGGTTGCAGATTTGCCAATAGCATTCATAATGTTGCATTTATGCCTTCTGTGACTCATTTCAGCTTTTTTTAGAAAGAGGAAATAGATACACAGTACATAGCATAGTGTTAATTTGTGAAGTCATGTTATATGTATCTGTTGTCTAGTGACAAATTTCTTTTAGAAAGCGAAACCGTATCTCAGACTATGTGCTGATATTTCCTCTGAGGAAGAAATGACTGATATTGCAAAGACAAGTTAATACTTTTTTGGGGAGGGGAGGGGGCACGACTCTGTGTGTGTGTGTGTTTGTGTGAATGTCATGGCAGGATTTATGCTAGGAAAGAACCGGAGTACTAAATAGTAGATCACTGCTTGTTACCCATTGTAGAAGGAAATCAATTGCATGTTGTTCTTTGATGTACTGTTTTAAAACAAGAAGTAAAATTTGGAATACAGAAACTTCATTAATGCGGTGCTAGGACTGCATGAATAACTCAAGATGAGAAAATTCAAATGGGAAGGATTATTGCCCAGCCTTAATTATGTTAATGCGTATTTATGGAGACGGAAATGTAATTTTTTAAAGCTTAAAATTACACTTCTGAGGCTCATATCCAACCACATTGCCAAGATATGGGTTGTAAATAATTAATTTCTTACAGGGATATGCCTACAGTCATTTTAAAAATCAGTTTGGGAAACTATTGTGTTAACACTTACTATTTCAAGGTTAATTGTGTCTTTGTGTTTTCAGAGAAGGCTGGGGTTTCTCTTACCTGTAAGATCAGGTAGGACCATTAACAAAGCTCCTTCTACATGCAAGCACATACACAGTACCATGCAACAGTGAAGCTACTAAATGCATGTTGGTTATGACTTTTCAAGCAAAATCTATTTCTATGCAGACTAAATGTATTTAGAGAGTGTTCAAATTTTTTTATGAACTGTTAAAACCGGCTGTCCTTTTGCCCCAAGTTTAATTAACTCCACACTGTACTTTCAATTCCTTTAAAGTATAGAACATAAATATCTCCGTACTGAAGGCTTCCATAAACCTTTCCAAAAAACTTGTTTGCAGACATCCATTTAAAAATTGATGCAGCAATTGGTGAATATTCAAGCTGGTCAGGTAACTTCTGATAATTCAGTGATTCAGTGTGATGTTATTTTGGTGGTAGGAGGACTGGAATTTGCAGTGTGTTTCATCCAGTTATATGGAAAAGTGAACATATATTGTCCAATGGCTTTACTTTTATAGTACTTGAAAAGCATGTTTAATTCATTTATGAAGGGATGTTTAGTCTCATGTCACGAATGAAAAATTCATTAGCTCTGCACCAGTTAATTTTAGATGAAAATACTGACACAGTTGTAACTGAAATAAGGTGTGCTTTAAAGAATATGTATTATGGTGGTTGTACTTTAGGACAAAGGCATACAGTGAGCAGAGAAGTAATTTTGACTTGTAATTGTGCATGCAAGTAAGAAATTTTTCTTCCAGTGGAAATATGAATAGATGGGAAGGTTTTGAGCATATAATTTACATCAAAGATATAATAGAAAGTTGAACACACTTCCTTTATACAACTCTCCTATTTTTAGTATAACTAAAGAATGTGTGCTTAACCCTTTATGCAGCTTTCTGCTGTTATATAAGACGCTTAGCTACTGAGTTATATGGGACAAAAATGGGGCCATTTGTGAAAATTAGCTATGCTATTTCTCTGTATGGTGAGCAAGCAGGATGGTGTTTCTATATGAGGAAAGGATTGTATTGCTAGTAATGCTCTCCTAGCCCTTTGTTAGAGTGGTCCTGGCCTCTTCCCCCCTGCCCCGAGCGCAGCACGAAAACAAATGCATGCATCTGTTGAAAACAAAGAATATAGCGAAGCACAAATAGAACTTACACTGAGAATGAGGCCTGCAGCATATAGGTAAAAGAATTGGAGGATAGACTAGGAAGAGAGCAAAAACAAAATAGGAAAAGAAAATGCAATTCCAAGTATGGAAATAACTGAATTCTTAAGAAACAGTCATCACTGGGATTTGATTGATCTTGTGGCCTACTTAATAGCAATTTATATTAAAGGTATGTGGCAAAAATTTTCTTTGCTCTAAATATTGATATCTATCTGAAGAATCAGTGCATTTGAAGAACTGGTACATTTAATTAGTGTATATACTGTTAAGGAAAAGTTTTCTTTTTCATTATTGTTAGAAATGAAAGTGACATTTCTTTCACCAAATAAGTGTTTAGTAGGTTCTTGTAGCTAATAAAACTTTCATGATTACTTTTGACAAATGATGTGTGTGGTGGGGGCAGCGAATGTATACAGTTTTTTTTTTTTCTTCCCTTTTCTGTCAGTGCTTCAGCAATTATTCTGATGGAACTTTCTTACTTTGGGAGTGGGAGGTGATTGAGCCAGTACCACATCCCAACACTATCCTGACCCCAGGAAGTAATTTGATTGTTTTACTCAGCTTGCTGAAAAAAGGCAATTGCCCTCATTAAATCTGGGATGTCCAGATGAGCCTTGCTCAGGAGAGGGGATCTGGGGACTTAGCAAGAATGTAAGAACAACTCTGTTTAGTTTAATGATACAGGTACAGTTTTGGAGTTTAAATGCTGTGATCATCAAGTCTTAATTGAAATACTAGGCTGCAGATAAAAGGACTGCAAGCAGCAAACTGATGGGGAAATGCAGATTTTGATTCTGTGTTTTGTTTGGGTAGCCTAGAAACTTTCCCTAATCCTGCAAGGACCTGTGTACAGACCTATAGAGATAATCCTTTGTTTTTTTTCCTTGTCAAAGGTACGACTGGATATCGACCTTGTTACTGAAATTAGATCTCTGCAACATTGTAATGAAACTTCTCTGATACACAGATACTTGATTTTCAGCTTGGGTATAAAAGGGCTGGACACAGCTGAACTTCAGACAGACATCTAGAACAAGCTAAACTTGAAACAAGTTTGTAGCTTTACCCAGTGTAAGTTGGCAGTAAAGCTGGACTCCAGGAAATGAGACAGTGTCGATATAAAAAAAAAAAAAAAGTTGGGTGGAATCTTGCATAGTCATAAAACACTGACCTAATAGCACTTAAAATTCCTTCAGGTCTGACATGTTACTTTAAACGTTTGACTAGGTAATGGTAGACAGGCCTTGCTTCTTTCCTTAGCATATAATGCTGATGGCAAGCTGCTCCAACTTTTGTTCGAAGCTGCTTTTGAAGCAGATTTCTATTAAAAAAAAAAGAATGATGAGACTGAATTTGTTCAGTACTGTCCCCTTGATTCCACCGAGGGTTTTGTTGTCTGTCTTCCAAGAATGTACTGCTCTAAAAGTCAGAGGCTGTGAAAATGTTAATCTGAACGTGAAGTGGTGCGTGCTTATTTTAACAGGTTTCTGTTAACATCGGAAGATAAGCATGTATTAGGTAGAAATTAGCTGCCTGTTGTGAAGAGTAGTTAATTATTTTTCCTTTATCTAATCCCTCCCAAAACTAAAGTGTTTTTTTACTATCTCCTCAGTAACTGATGCAGCTCATAATTTACAGCTTTTATCGCGATAGCATTAGTAGACAAGGAAGTGAATACATATCCCTTCTACTCTGCCTGTTACTAGAAAAGGTTTGGGGGAAAACTGGGAAAGGGTGAGGAAAGAACATGGCTTCTTGAGCAATAGTGATATTAACCATTCTAGCTATACCTATCTGAAAATGTGAATTGGAGCTTTAAATATATGCAATGTAATAAAAGTTAACGTGGAACTCGCTTCAGCGCTTCCCTGTAGTGGCTATAGCTTTCTATGCTGGTGAGACCTTAGTTCTAGAATTAGATTTGACTTGCTATAGCATTGTCATTAGGACTAAGGTCTGTGTGCTTGTTTAATGATAGTCAGTGCAGTTTTGGATTAGCCCATGTTAGCATAGCTCGCAGTTGGACCAGACCCCCTAAACTGTGGTTCTTGGCTGTCTTTTCCACTGGGGTGTAGGCTCCTAAGCAATTTCTTGAAAATTTCTTCCATCTTACTCAGCTATTGAAAAGTGTATTCCAACTGAGTCTTGGGTAGAAAAATTGATCTTTTAGCCTAGCTCTTAAAAAGCTATGAAAGTTGGAAAGAGATTACTCACTGAAACTTAGGAGGAGATCATCTATTTCAAGCTGAAGTGCCAACTAGGTAATGTTCCTTAAACTTGCTGCCACACCATGCTGGGGAGGCAAGTGGTATGAGAAAGTTCAAAAAGGAATTAGACATGTTTACAGACAACCGTCTATAAACAGGGAATAGGAAAGGATGTACTCTCTGACATCTGTAATGGCGTT